GTCTTCTTCACCGTCGAGCCCGAGCATGATGCTCCCGCCATCAAGGCCTCGCCCAGCTTCTCGTTGGCTCTCACTTGCACTGTCGCGCGGACCGTCCCGGACTTCATCATGGCGCGGCCACGTAGTTCTTCGGTGTCGCCGGGCACTTGTGGACTTATAAGTAAGAGTGTAAGTGTACTTAAGGGAGGTTAAGTGGGCTGGTAAGTAGGTTAAGTGGTTCATAAGTTCAATTTCTTTTTTCGTTACTTATGATGGAGATAGCTACTTACCGCCCTACTTATAAGTAGGATGCTGTTGAAGTTGAAAAACGTCGTCTCTACTTACGATAGTACTTAACCTACTTAGCTTTTTGTATGTTTTCAAGACGTTTTTAAACATATGTCTAAAACAGAGTCATTTTGCAAACATTTTTGTTTTCACGTGCTGGGCAGTTTTGGCTCACAGGCGCGTTACGTTGGGTCGGAGGCACCTCCATTTATTTTTCCGCGTATGGCGGGTGCTTTTGAGAAGGCAATGGTTGCCGGCCAGAAATTTTTAGAAGGCTTGCGCAGCCTTCCGAGCTACAAGGACGCACAGCAGAAGCAGCTGCGAGCGCTCTTGAAGCAGTTGGGTTCGGTCACTGATCTGACCACAGGTCAGTCAGGCAAGATCTTGTCAATGCTGGATGAGAAATTGTGGGACCACGAGTCTCTACAGCAGTTGCGGCAGCAAATAGCTGCCGGGTGTACCACAGGACGGGGAAGAAGTCCGCAGCCAGCGGGGTGGTTGGCAGACCTTGGCAATGAACCCCGCCTTGCACGTGGAAGAGATGTTCACAGCTGCGGATGCCCTGATGTCTTTGATCCCGCTGGTGCGTCGTGCAGGTCTGGAAGAACTGCACGACTGGCTGGAAACTGCGCTGCTGGTGATGTCGGCTGCGCGCCGGCGGCTGCAGACTTTGCATGTTCTGAGATGTACAAAAACGGCTTGTTCGCCGTTGTCCGCGGTTGTCCGCCGTTGTCCGCCGTTGTCCGCGGCCGAAGCGGACACTCTGCGCGATGTCCGCCGTTGTCCGCGGAAGCCTAGGATTTGTAGCCTGCAGGCGGAGGGGGAAACCTTGTCCGCGGTTGTCCGCGGACGACGAAACGTTGCGTATCTGTGAGAAAACACTTGTCCGCGATGTCCGCGATGTCCGCCGCTCTAAAATATATGATTTTCTGTTTGTCCGCGGCCTCTCACGAACTTTTGTTGATTTGTGGTAGTTTTGCTTCCGGTTGTCCTGTCTCTGGATACGTTTTTTGGTGGTATCTCTGACATGAGATCACTGCAGTTTTGCATTAATTGGCTCAACCGCGACCCCGCTATAGTTCCCCCTCCGAGATGGCTAGCGCAGATGCACCTGCGAGCGGTGCAGACTGCTTGCGCCGCCTGTGTGGCCACAAGTTCAGACTGGACCAAGGCCGCTCGCGATCTGCGCAGACGTTTGAGTGTCACCCGATGGGCTCACTGCTGAGGGGCGAAACTTCATTCCGGGTCAGATCTACATCTTGGACACCAAAACGGCCGTGGAAATCACGGGAGCAAGAGTGGAGCACTGCCAACACAAGCTGGAAGCAAATGTTCTGGCCCTACGCTGGCGTTCAGACGGCGGGCTTCACGCGCTGGTTGCGCCAAACTCCTGCTATGCATCAAACTGTGGCGGTTTCTAGGCTTCTGCAGAGGCGTGAAGCGCTCTTCGTGCGTAAAGATGGACCAGACGTGTGGCTCCTGCAGTGAAAAAGACCGCTTGCGCGCGCGTTTTTCGCTTTTTCGTAAATCTTCACGAAAAACACATACTTCTACTTAACCTACTTACAAGTCTACTTATAAGTATGGTTCTAAGTACGAAAATACGTATCTAGCTAAGTAGCATCATAAGTAACTTATAAGTCCACAAGTGCCCGGCGCCACCGAAGTTCCATCAGCTTCCCATTGAAGATCTTCTCCGTGACCGTCATGGAGGTGAACTCCTCCTTCAGTTCCTCCTGAGCCAGTTCGACATGCTCTGGAGGGGGACCAATGGCCCGGGTCTCGCCATGACCACTGCCCTTTGTGACATAGCGCAGGCGCAGACCGCACCGACTGCACGCTTGCCACATGGCGGTCTTGTTGGACCGCTCCTTGCCCGGCAGGTGTTCTCCATGACATGGCCAGCCCACATGGCGTGGATCGAGGTCTGTCGCCGGGGGGCATGATTTCATCTCTGGTAGATGAAGGGGCTTCACGGAGTCGTTGAAGTCGCTGAGCCAAGATGCTGAGGCGGTCGGACAACAGTGCTCCATGGTGTTCTTCAGACTCCATCGTGAAAATGCTCGAATCACCGCAAACAACAGCTGACTGGCAATCTTCATGTGATTGAACCGCATGAAATGGAAGTGACTCTGAAGTGTGTGCCATGGTTGCAACTGCATGAAGTCCCTCAACCGACATCTCGACCGACTCGGCATGCGAAACTGACTCAAGCTCCAAATCACTGATGATGGTTTCCTTGTTGTTCAACACATCGAAGCGACTCTCAGCAGGCACCGCAGAGTATTCCCTCTGGTCTTCGGGATTCGGTGTGTCTGCCTCATTGGCCTTCTCGACTTCCGCAGTTGGGGAAGGAGGTGCAATCGGAGAATGGGACGCATTGGAATTGATGTCCATTGGCATCCCCGGCTCATCAGGCGGAAACATCTGATGAGGCTCACCAGAAGTTGCAGCTCTATTGGCGTGCTCAGTCGTCGCCTGCAGCAAGTTGCGAGTGACAAAGGGTCCTCGGCGTCTCTTGGTGCCTCGGCTGTTTCCCTTGCCACCTCCATCATCTGGGCCGCCATCGTCGTCATCGATGTCATCATCCTCACCCCTGGGCCACCGAGTGCTCGGATAGCCGTTGAACCTCTGCAGCAGGAACTCGATGGGGACAGGCTGTTCCATGAGGTCAAGCCACAAGTGTCCTCCCGTCTGGGAGCTTGTCAAAGATGTTGACATCCACTGTCCTGTCACGTTCCTGTAGGCCAGATAGTCGCCGTGATAGGAGATGACCGCCTTCCGGCTCCTTAGATCTCGGGCCCCGAGCAGCAAAGGTGTTCTCTCAGCGCTGCCATCAAGCAGGTAGAAGGTCACCTTCCCGATGGCCGGCGTGTACAAGTAGATCTTGGAAACTGCTCGCTGGTTCTCACCATTCCCGAAGCGGAACCGTGGCCTGTCCTCCAGCTGGATGTGGTAGAGCATCGGGCATGAATCCAAAACACGAGCCATGGATTCCACACCTGCCACAGACTCCGTCGCACCCGTATCCAGCACCGCCTTGGCGACTCCCTGGGCATACAGCTCTTCGTTCTCAAAGAGGCTCAACACGTTGATGTCAGGGATGTAGTCCATGCCATAGCCGAAGTCCATCGTGTAGACCTTGCCGCCCTTCTTTCCTTTCTTTCCCTTGCCCTTGGGTCGTCCAGATCCCTTTCCGCTGCCAAAGGAAGATCCCTTTGAGCTCGGCGAGGACATAGGCGAAGATTTGCCTCCTCGTGACCATCGATCTGGACACTTCTGATATCCATGGCCATTCTGACCGCAAATGAAGCATGGGCCAAAAGAAGATGGGCCCTTGCCCTTTCCACCAAAGGGCTTTCCCTTGCCTTTGCCCGGACCAGTGCCCTTGTGACCCGCAGTGTCGTAGTAGCCACGAGCGGCCCGGACGCGAGCCACTGCCTGCTTGGCTTCAGCGAGGATTTTGTTCGCTTCAGTGGCCAGTGCAAAGGCCTCTTCAAGCCGCTGCTCCTCCTCCAAGGGCTGCTCAGCTGCCTGTCCAGCCAAGTCATTCTCAGGCGTCTCGCCATAGAGGTCGTCAGCCTTGTAGTCCATGCCCTCATAGTCTTCCCAAGAGTCAGCACCTGGCCAGTCTGACCAGTAGGCCTCAGCAGCAGGCCAAGGCTCCTCATCCCACCATTCATCATCCCAGTCGTTCTCCTCGTAGGGCTCCTCGAACCAGATGGTCTTCCGAGGTCTTGGATGATCTTCAACTCCATCTGTCTCCGCAAACAGAGACCTCAGAGCTTGGCGGATGAGGGTGAAGTGCGTGCTGTTCTTGGTGAGGGTCAGCACGTGTTGGCGTTCAGCCGCCGTGAGCTTGGAGGCTTTCAGAAGCCTGTAGCCGCGGAGCTCGTTCTCGAAGAAGCCGGTGTTGTCCATTCCGGAAGTCGTTGGGGCTTCCTCAAAGCTCTGCTCCGTTGGCTCCTCTTCAACCATGCGGCCACCTTTTCCACCTGCCACGTTCGGAGACCGTGTAGGTGAAGCCGAAGGGTCATGCTCACTCACGCCAACCGCCATGGACCTCATCTCGGCCTTTCGCCTCTCATGCCTCGCTCGCTTCAAGGCCTGCTGGAGCTCCAGGAAGAGTTCTTCTTCTCGGACAAGTAGTTGTGGGATGGACTCGGATGAAGTGCGTCTCATCCCTGTCCATCGCTCCAGCCTGGCGAAGCTGTCAGGCACCGGCAGCTTCTGCAGCGGACTCTCCCTGAGGACCGTCAGGAGCTTCTGGAGACCTGACTCCGTGGCAAAGTCCTTGGGGTCAAGGTGCTTGACCACGCTCTTTGCAGCGCCAGCCAACCTCTGCCAGATCCTCGGTGCCGCCAGCTTCTTCTCCGTGTCCTTGAGCGAGCACTCATACCACCTGCAGCTGGTGGCGAAGTTCTCGAAGCTCGCAGGGTCTCCATCCCAGGCCGGGATGTCCTCCTGCGGCATCACCTCCAGGCTCGCCACCTCCTCGGCCTTCAGGACCACCAGGATGTAGCTCCGCCTACCATGCAATGCGCTACCCCTAGCGCGACCGGTGCCCACCTAAGGGCAAAAAGGACACCGACGCCCCTTTTCCGCTCTGTGCTCGAGCCCCGCCCTACAGCGGAGAGTTGAACACGTGAACCATGACCGCCATGCTTGCACTACTAGTAGCTACAAGCTACTAGTAAATAGAGCATCGCTACTAGTAACAAGCAGCTCAATGCCTCCAGAGGTGTGGGCGGCACCCGCTTTTCATCATAGGTCGGCCTTATACACGAATGCGGCTGTCAATTGCAATCTTCCAGTGCCTTGCGTTTTCATGTTGAGCAATCGCAAAATCTGGGACCTTGTGATTGTCGCATTGCTGGTGCTGTCTTCAGTTGCTGCACAAGTGATTGGCATTTAAGGAGACCACAAATACCGTCAGAAAATGAACCTAAAGATTGACAAAAAAGGAGGATGACATTTCTCGACAATGTTGTTACCAAAGACCACTGAAAATGAGAGACAACTGCTATGGCCTTCCTCCTCTCAGTCTGGGTGCTCTGCGCATAGTCTGGGCTAGCTCGGAGTAAAGAAGGCACCTGCAGCAGTAGTTTCCGTTTCTGAGGACCGGGAGGGCAAAACAAGAAGAAAATGTGAGAAGGCACATCAAATAATGTCAACTGGTTTTGACCATTGTATGCGGTTCTTTGATGCACTATACAATATGTGGTCCAGACAAGTCAAAGGCTTCGTTTAAATGCATGGCGAGCGCAAAAAATACAGCAATAGATTGTGAACATTTACGATTTCATCGGACCACTGCTCAAAAGCTGAAGCAACCCTCTTCTCGGCTGCAATACCAAGGAGGCCCAAAATCCAGACCTCAAACAAAAGAAAGGAATTAAAGTTTGAAGGCGTAGAGTGTTTATCCACATGGTGATTTCCATAAGTTTCCAAACCATTCTCCACAGGTGCTTCCAACAGGCACTGTCTTAGCTTGCAGCCTTTAAGCGTACAAGTTAGCGACATCACAGAACACATGCTGTAGATTGTAAGTGTCCCTAAAAATCTAGGAAGCAAATCATTAGTGCGAGCGTGAGCTATCCTGCCTCCATACTAGTAGCGTCCTAGTGGCTAGGAGCTTCTCCCTTACTCAATTATATAAGTATATATAGGCGCCTACTTAATTAAGAGCGGGCTTAAAGGTTAAACAATATAAAGGTCTAAAGGAGAAAGGTGCCTTTTTGTCGTCGCACGCAGCCATACTCCAATTACCTGGGCGTTGCGTTCACCATCGATTCGCCTTCTGCTTGTAGCCTCCGAGGTTCGAAGTCCTCCTTGCTTCGGTTGTCAAAGCGTTGGTGGTAGCTCAAAAAGAAAACCTTAAAGCAGTAAAACTTTTCAAGATAACAACTGAAATATATAATATTTAAACGATTCACAATGGACAACAAAAAACACCACAACGGCAAATCCTCCACGAATCATGCCGCAATGTCAGTAGCTTTGTGCTCGAGCAACTCCCATGCGACTAGACAAGTGATACTTGCTTGATCAAAGTGAATGCTGCACCTGAGTGCAATGCCCGGCAACATGGGAACATGAAAGTCAGTGACCCTTGTGATGTTGCAGCATTTATACAGGCTGCTTAGACCGGGTATTCATTGATAGATGTAACATATGTATTCCATTGATTGCGGACAACTTAGAGAAGCGAGTTTTAAGCATTGCTTTACTTTGGGCGTCTTCAGGCATCAAACAAGTTTGGCTGCCCATTATTGGCTCAGCGGACACTGTGTGCACGAGCAAAATGCGGCTAACTACACCTCTGCGTCCTCTGTGTCTGTATCCCAGGAGCTGTGATGTCTTGGCTGCACGGCGTGAAAGGGCCCAGCCGTATGTCTCATTTGCGGCGCTGCTGGTAAAGTGCCGGAAGGGAAAGCCAAAACGCGCGATTCACTCAATAAATGCCTCCTCAAAAGCAGAAAGGTGTTTCATGTGCCACGTTTGTCGCGCCATTTTGGCAAGTACCACCGACCACACGCCCCAAACAACTACAGTATCACAATATCTCATTGTCATTAAGTGATGGCCGACTATACTTTTTGCCAAGACACAGCATCGAAAAAATCATCTGTTGGGTTCTCTTGTCTGCTTCATAGATTCAGAACCCATTGACGTGGTAATTCCCTCGTACAGTTTGCCATCCCACTTATCCTGCTGTCATTGTTTTAATCGCTTGCAGTGTTTCATGCAAACATGTTATTGCCCTACTGCTTTACTGCGGCGCTAGCAAATTCTGCTAAGCAAATTTATATGTTGCGCATTGCCGGATGACATCTCATGACTAACCAAGAGCAGTCAAGCACCCAGATCTTGGAACTCTTTCGTTATTGCACCCGAGGATTTAAGTAAAGCCCAACGAGTCTACATTAACGGCGTTGATTTGGACAAAGCCGAAACAACACAAGGACAATAACAAGGTAAAGGCCCCTCTAGTAAGGCCTGCACTGTCAACTTATTGAAGAGGCCCTTACCTTTTTTTTGTCCTTTTCCATCCTTTTCCTTTTTGTGTTAGTGGGCGTGGGAGTCGTTCTGAGGTCTACAATCTGCCACAAATAGTTTTCAGATGCATACCGTTCTTGGTGGATATGACCTGACACTGGCAAGGGGAACAAATTCCAAGGTTAGGGCAAAGCTACATGCTGATAACTATAACTGATATCCAAGTATTTCACGGACCAAATCAATACCTCATTACATCCTATTACCATCTATTACCCCATATCCCCGTGTCGTATACACATCTGGACATTGTAACACGTTTCGGGTAGCCCCGCAGAAGCAGTCCTTCGATCTGGGAAACGCAGGTTGCTCACCTCTTTGGAAGCGCAGGATGTCCAAAAAATACAATCTCCTCGTCACTCGCAAGTGATCAATTGGGCTGGGGTGACTATGAACTCGACATGCTGCTGATTGCACGCATGGTTGCACCCTCTTCTGCTGCATCTTTGAAAAATTTTACTTTGTAGGATTTGAAACAAAACTCTGCATTAGTCCAGCAGTTTGTTGGCTGAAAACCAAATGACTGGGATCAGAACATGTTCGAGGGTAAGATATGCCAAGTTCGTCCATGGTACTCCCCGCCCGCCTCTTCGCAGGAGGACAGGAGTCCACAAGTTGTAGTGGAAAGGTGCATCTTGAATCTCGTTGGCATTAACACCATTCAGAAGTTCAGCGTGCACCTTCACTGCTCCGCAAAACCATTATGCTATATAAAAAACAATCGAAAACATGTGTTAAATCAACAATGCGTTCTTTTTTGCACTCCTCGAAAACTAACAAATTTGGGCATCCAATCCAACAAATTTGGTTGAAAACAAAAGGAATGTACACTGTGCCTTCAGGCATTTGAAAACACAAAAATGCAGAAACTGATTTTGCTACTTCGAGTCTCTTCTGGGAACCAAATCCTGAACCAGAAATGACTCGCATTCTTTCGAAACTTAGACTGCTGCGTTCCCAGATTTTGGATATTCCGTGGGTAGGTGCGCCAAAGGCCAAAGTGGATCGCTTTGAGTTTGTAGATGGCAGAAGTGTTGATGGCAAATCGTAGATGGATCCTCAGAAAGTGAAATTGTGCTTGCTGCACCAAGAGCACAAGTCAAGTTGGTATGTGCAATGCTGGAACGAACCAAAAGGAAAGTAGGCAAAAACGCAATGACTTGTGTTAGTGCCCTGTGTTTTCCGCTGCCACTCCCACAGACGGTCCCTAAGACTGCACTCCTTAGTTTGGGCAAAGATCTCAGATCTGATCCACTTGAACAGGAGTGTTATAAACATAACACTGGGTCTCAGTCGTGGCTTCACAAGATTCACGGCGCTGTCGGCGCCCGCGCAAGGGTTGTTCATGTTGTTTGACCCTTTGCTGACAGCTTGTAACCCTCGCAGGGCTTTGAAGGTTTCCATGGATCTGCACACCCGTATTTTCATTGAAATGTACTGTAATCCGGCGTTACTTTGCGTTCCTGCGCGAGCTTGAACCCAAAAACTCGGACAGAGTGGCGTGAGGGTAGCCCAAAACACGAACAGCAGAAACAACAATTCCGCACCTGTGACCAAAAACATCAACATCGTTCGCTATTGCCCCCCCACCCACCCCGAGCATCAGCTCTCGGGCGCTAAGAACCTTCAACAAATCACAGACAAGCTGGTAGCGTCATATTTGATGAACTTATAAAACCTGATCACCCCGCACAGTGCCAACTGTGGGAGTTCATTCATAGTAGACCTCGAAGCCCAACCCTATATATGCCCTGTGTCTTTTTCCGCTCCACTCCCACAGACGGTCCGGAGTCCCTAATACGGCTTATAGTTTCAGACCTGATCCCTTTTCTAATCGAACAGGAGCGCTATAATAAACATAACATTGGGGTTTCCGTCGTAATTTGATCCACGGATGAGAGATGAGACTGCCGTTCGTTATCTGCGAAGCCACGGGGCCAGGCCATACAGGCACCAGGCAGTAAACTCCCGCAGGGGGGTTCACATTGATAACCCAACCCAAAAGGAGTTCGTGTTGAAGAACGGACATCGATGTCGGGAGGTGTGAGAGCATGACATATAACATGGCCAACGTCAACGCTTCACGCACAGGACTCAAAACTGGGTCAGTGGCACGCTGCTTGGCATTGAGCAGGGACCCGGCAAAGCGCTCAAATCACCTCTGAGTTTACCAGCGTCATGTTAGTATCCGTGGCCTGACGAAGTTTGGCTTGTACCTTGCGAGTGGTGGGCAATTTGACTTGAATTGAAAGCAAGTAGTGGCGGTTGCGGTGGCCGGCTGGCACTCCCATGAGCCGGACAACGAGCTGTAATTGGACTTGGGGGAGATCGGGGGAACGAATGAATTTAGCGCCAACTCACCGTCGAAATACGCCGCTGCGCGCCCCACAAAAGACATACGAGTGACAGCAACGCCAAGCTATGGGGAAACGGTAACGGTTGAAGTTAACCACAAGCATGTAAACCTCCACCCAGAGCCAGGGACACGCACTGGCCCAAGATGAGACCCAAAAAGAGTTGCGCTCGACGCGGCGCGCTGCGAAAGAGATGGGCGATGTGTTTGGCGTTGGGGGACGGCGTTTCGTTGAACGTTTCTTGATTGTTCAACCGGATGGGAAGAAAAGGGCATTTGACAGCGCCAAGAAGAGTGGCCATGATGTTCATAGACAGATGCGTGAAATCTACCGTGAATGTCTGTTGCCCGCGTGATCTGATGATAAACTAGAACGTACAGATTACCCGGACTGGCTTGATCTCTTTCTGGGCGCGGATTATGTGCCAGATGCCTACCGTGGGTTGCCGGTTGCTGATGCACACTTGCCGTTCTCCAGCAATGGCGGATGTCTTCAACATGCTCGGGTGTCTTCCTCGGCCGGAGACCCCTGAGAAACCGGGCGAAAGACTCCTGAGCGTGGCAGGTGGCAGGTCCCCAACGATGTCAAGCCGCAAAAGCAAAGATTTCACCAAGTTCTTCTGATCAGGGCCATTGGCCTTAGCCACACCGCGATGGCGTCAATCACAAAGTAACATCCAGCTCCGGCCATGCTCAAAGTGTAAGGCAACGTCTTGGCCGTCTCAATGCGGGTTTCCTTTCCCAGGTCCGGTGCCAACAGGAGATCGAGGCCCTTGGCGAGGGAGGTGGAGTAGCGTTGGCCAGTCAGCCCCACATAGATAGCTGTTCGTTCCCGGCCCCAACCTGGGTGATGTTGTCGTCTCTGTCTGGTCCCTCCGTCGCTTCGAGCGCCAAGTGCGTCGCAGGTCCGGCAGCAGCGCGGAGAATGCCCCTGGCCTCCCGCAATTAGCAGCCGCAAGCCCTGCACATCTGGGTAACGGACCACGTTACCTCGATGAAAGCGGCCCGCGCCGCGAACGGCCCGTTCTCTCTCTTCCAACGGCTCGCCCCCAAAACACCAGGCCGCCAGGTCCGACTCCAGGATAGGGGGCATGGCAGGGAAAGAAAGGAAGAGGTGCCCAAGAATCTTGAGCCAAAATGGCATCAAGATTGGGTACTGACACTACATGTTTCAAATCTCAATGTGCCCCTTTCCAACCTGATCGATAAAGTGCGTGTGTGTGTGTGTGTCACACTCTGTATCTAAGAGTTTTCCTCGTTTTGTTCCAGCAGGGGGGCAGTGGACCACTATCACTCACTGCCCAACGAAGACAGTGATAGATCGGTCGTGAAGCAACGCGGGACGCCGCATTGTGTACCTGCTGAGTTTGTCCACAAGCTGTCACCCTACTTTTCCACGGTTTGATTCATGGTTCTT